ACACACACACACACACACACACACACACACACACACACACACACACACAAAACTTTTTATTAAAGTTCACACGCAAATCTTTTGAAACAATAAATTCATTCAGTTAAAAATTCCTAACAAAGTCATTTCTGGGCTTTGTATAAAAACATAACGTCTTCAGACAGGAAAAGTGCATGCATGCAAAAAATAAAAAAATTAAAAAATGCAGCTTTGCGGGCCATACACAAAATAATAGTCTGTGATTTTCTAAATATTTTTTAAATGTCATAATTTTTGATTTCCAAAGCTAAAAGATGTTTTTTGTGAAATTGAAATTCATCAAGAATTGTTGAAAGCTGAATAATTCAATGGATTTTACCAGGTTTTCCATGAGTAAAATGAGCTTTTGTGTTTGTGCACAATGCAAAAACAATTATATGATATTTTAGCAACATTTTGTCCATGCACACATGAATTTTTATATATAATCCTGTGTACTTTGCTCGGATGATCCTGTACACAGAGTGTGGGACAACCAGAAGAACCGAGTGGTTTTTAACAAGAGAGAAGGCTTCAGTGTTGCCTTAGGCCCAGTTCTTCATGCATTAATATTAATAAAGACTACATAAAGAAATCATGCACTTTATGTGGTTTGAGGCTGCAGATGTCTCAAACAATAAAACATCTCACAAAAATTTTATTTTAGTGAATTAATCTGAAAGATCCCAAATTAATGTAAACCACATCATAATGATCAAGATTATTAGTTTAAATGAAAACTAAAAGGAAATTGGAGTTCATAGGTCATACGTTTCATATGAAAATTATGTTAATGAAAGTAATAAAACACCTATTTGAGTTTTTAAAGAAATTGTAATAATTAAGGTAATTTTAATGAGTTGTATGCAAGCCAAACTTTAATCCCCTCAGACTGTTGACTGGCAGGTCATGAAGAGTTAGTGTGCCACCCAGTGAGGTATGAAGCTACCCCGTCAACAGGCTGGGGCCAAGATATGCTCAGCGCGACGCCATCTTGAAACAGTCTACTTAAAGGGATGGGGCTATTCAAAGGATGTAAACAATGCTGAGTACTTGTACCAGATTAACAGGTTTTTCTTTGTAGAGTAGCCCTGATTATCATGTACTCTATAACACATACACACACATAGATAGTTGAAAGAAAAAGTTTATTTTACCATATTATTTTAACAAAAAAAAGTTAT